AAGCTGTGTGCATCACTAAAAGGCTTTTGATGAGTCGAATTTAATTATCGTTCGGCCTTCCCCGGCTTCCTATATGGAAAAAAATTCTACTAAAATTTTTGTACAGTGTCGTTTTTTTTCATGACCTTATAGATATATTGTATTGTCCATTTCGCTTCATTTTATATTTTTTTACTTTTTACGTACAGTTACATCTCCAATTGACAAGCTTTCCACAGTATTTTATGAAGTTACATGCTTTAAAGTTTTCTTTTTGTAGCTCTAAATTTTTTGTGTTGAACTCCTATTATTTAATATATTTTTAGTTAAGATATTCATTTTTATTATTAGTATATATGTGTAGTGTATCAACTATCTGGTATCCATAACACAAGACCACTTGTTACCTTGGAACTAGATGATGCTGTGTGTTAATGTCCCAACAACATATTTATTTTGTTTCTGTATATCTGTATTAATATACTAGTAATCCGACAAGCGCCAAGAAATCATAAAAAACGCCTTTATCAAAAAATGATATAAAACTTATCTCATATTTGCCAGGATAAAAACTAACTTTTATAACACTTTCAACCGCATCTTCTTCCCCCGTTAAATCACGTATTCATTCAACAATAACGTACCAGACGAGATGGTACGTGTACTACGCGAAAATGAATTTTTATACAAATTCTCTCCCCTACCATATATAATTAGATTCCCTAATACCAGTTTACACGGCAAATATAACTAATTGATGTTAGCACTCATTACAATTGGCGTGTAAACATAAACAACACGCAAGCCCCGAATTCTTTCAAATGAATTAAGTACGCCCAACTTTTATTTGCTTAGGTGTTTGTACATTTCAAACTTTTAATGAAATTGTTTAAGTTTCATACTATTAGTAAAGTGGATTTAATGCACTTTAAGTACTAAATGATTCTTTGAATATACGGTTTTAGCACGTTTGTTTGTCGCTCTGGCTTTTTAGAGATGAACACACTCTATGAACAAACTCTAACAAAAACTTGGAATTGTGATTAATGTAGTGTTTATCTCCTTCTTAAAGATAATGATTATTCTTTTAAAATTATATGATTTGGTATATGGTATTACATCGTGATTCATATCTATACATATAATAAAATTCTAAGTCGTATCTGTTTCTGTACATTAAATATTTTTTGGAAAATCTTATTGAAATAGTCATTATTATCGATACAGAGGTTGAATCTAAAGTTTTTAGAATTTTTGTCTGTCTGTCTGGGGACGCATCACGAGAAAACCACTGGACAGATTTTGATGAAATTTGGTATAGTGATAGCTGGTTCAATAAATAGGATACTTTTTACTGCGGGTAAGATATAGAGACGAACCTGAGCGGAGCAAGGGTGAGTCGCTAGTTTTTTAAATAACCACACAAAAATTTTGAAACATAAAAGGAAAGAATTATTTTTACATAAAATTCTACATAATAGCGTGTTGTTCAAGCACATTACTAGATTTCGTTAAAACATTGAACGAAAGGAAGTAGTTACAAGCACAGATTTCCACGCCTCGTTTTCAAACCTCAGAACATTAATTTGGCAACCACAATCTTCACGAACAATGTGTGCAACGTTTAGCGCAAGTACAATAACACCGCAAACGCTGGCTGCGTTTTTCCGAATGGATGCACATAGAAAAACTTGGTAAATGCATGTTTCCAATTTCTAATAAAAATTGGGAATTGTTTTTAAATAACGCCATATATACAGTTCATTAAAAGCATTTTGCATACGGCCATGGCTGAGTGATAGATAAATATATTTAATTATTATAATGCAATTATCAACACAATAATATTTGATGACAGCCTTGGTATATATAAGGGATGTTTTGAGAATATCTATTACACTATAAATGGTAAGTTCTAGCAAAGACCATAGTATATTTCTTTATTTTTAGATTAATTTTTGAATTATTATACCCGAATGAAAGTATATATATACATTAAAAGTTTGTAGCCCGTTTCTTCGCACTCATAATAAAAAGAAGAGGGCTAAAAGGCCTTTTTCAGTCTTCATGAAAATTCGGCGATATCAAATTGGCTATGTATACGAGTAATACTAGGTACTTTAAGTATTACCACGTCAACGTTAACGTCTCTCATAATAAATTGTGATGTAAAAATATAGGTATAGGAGGTACCCATGACATGTAAATGATTTGAATTTATTATAATTACAGAATATAAATGAAATGTAAACTTTGAAAATAACATTTTAACTTAACAAATTACATTACCCATAAGAATTTGAAATAAATAGAGATAACTGTAAAAATTATCTGTCAACAAAATTAAAAACAACTGTTTTTTTATGACATGTTTTTAGTAATTTTAATTAATTCTAATAAATAAACAGAAATAAATACAATATTTTTAAATGTATTTATTCCCATGAGTAACTTCAATCTGATAAAAAATAACTGACTTTTAAACTTAACAACGAAGCAAAGCTTACAAAATATAAATTAAATTCTTAAGTCATGTAACATATTGCGGCTATAGTGTGAAATACTATAGAAACAGGATAGTAAGGGTATTACTGCGATTGCCACTCGGAAGTTCGGTGCGGTTGGCAAAGCCGCGTTCCCTTTGGAAATACATAAACGAGTCCGCTATTTGTTTGTAGAAATATTTAAGGAGACTAGTGATTAAATACTAATGGATTACTTTTTAAATATGTGGCAATTAAATTCTGGATCTATACATACAATGAAATTGTAACTCAGTACATTAAATATTTTTTTTGGAAAATCTTATTAAAATCGTCATTATTATCGATACAGAGGCCGAATAGCCGAAAAGCCAAAAACATGTTGCTTTCAAATATGCACTGCAACAAATAAGTAAAATACACATATAGAAACTTATCAATTGCGAAATAAAAGGACTGGTATAGACACGTTTTATGTGTAATTTAATATATGATATAATATTTTCTTACCAAAAAAGCTCCATCGATTTTGAAACTAAGTTCTCATTCTTACCGTAGAGTTGTTTTTTTTATTACTCTCAAATCTAGAAATTACTTTATGTAAATAGACTTTGCTTTCAAGTCATTAATTTATAAAAAAAATCAGTTCTGCTAGAGTTCGAAATGCGGATCTAATAAAAATAGCTGGAGACTTTATAGCTACTTAAAATGTTGTTTTATATAAAATTATTAGATAGTTCTTTATTTACAAATCCATACTAATATTATAAATTTAGAAGTGTGCTCGTTTGTCCGTTTTTCACATCGAAACAGAGTGAGGGATTAACATGATTTATGTGGAGATAGTTGGAGGGCTGGAGAGTAACATAGGCTATTTTTTATCACGGGAGATCATCTCATTCCCATGGGAAAATACATTATAATACGACCTAAAACCGCTCATCATATCTATTTATACACATAGATATGATAGGTATAATATATAGTCTTTTCCATACTAACCGTTAAAGCGTACCTAGGGACGAACCCGAGCGAAGCAAGGGTGAGTCGCTAGTAAAAGAATAAAGAAATAACGTACTTCTAGGTACTTCTCCATTCGCTCGTATTCTTATAAGATATATATGATCAATTTTAATAGAATCAAGTAAAATATAATCATAGCCCATTAAAAAGCATTTATACATTAAACTTGTTCAAAATCACTATAATATTCATTAAGATCGAGTGTTGAATTTAAATAACTATTTAGCAAGGCGATGATGCAGGCAGGAAACGTTGTAATATCACTACTAGTAAGCCAAATTGATCCTTATTCTATACAAAATAGACGCCAGTATATATTCAGAATTTTCGATCCCTCTCACTATCTTGGCTGTACGTGCAGATGGCTTGCAATTTAATAACCATGCCTAGTTGAATACGTTAGGAAAGCGATTAGGTCACGTTCACACTAACGTAACATTTCAATTCTTTACACACTCAAAATCTTCAGAGACGTGGTAGTGACTTCAATATTTTAATATTTTGCACTCTGAATTTCAATCTTTAACATATATTTATATAAAATATCTTTCGATTTCTAAAAGGTGCGAATTAGAAATGAACGCACCTATAAAAATAGTTTTATATTGAATATTGTACTTTTAAGTACGTAACCTAAGATGAAGTCTAATAGAGAAAGAAAACATCTCATTACGAGGTCAGTGTCTGGACCTTACAGAGTTTACTTTAAATAAATGCTTACTACGTTACATTGCTTACACATTACTCAGTAGTTTGAAGGGCAAATAGAGGTATACGAGTATACATAATATTTGTCTATACTTAATATTGTAAAAAGGTAGAGTTTGTTTGTTTGAACGCGCTAATCTCAGGAATTACTAATAGGTACGTTTTGAAAAAAATCTTTTTGCATTAGATAGCCCGTTTATTGAGAAAGGCTAAAGGCTTTATATCTTCATGCTATTAATTATAAATTTCAACAAATCGGGCAGACTTACATACATTAGGTATTACTAATAGCATAAAGCCAAAGAGTTTTTTTATAGTTTTAGCGCGAGCAAAGCCGCGAGTTCTGCTAGTTTATAATATTTATAGAATGAAAATCATATAATAATATATTTGATACATAAAAAAATTATATCACATACTAATACTTAGTATTAATTGTTTATTTAATATCTAATTTAGTACTACCACAGATCATATATAATATGTACGATAGTAGTAGATAATATTATACTAGGTACTACCTTTATTTGAATACATTCCACTGTTTGAATATATAAAAATCAAATTTAAGACCACATCTAATAGTTGTTATTGAAATATTCGCTTATTTTAATGTGAATTGGATCTTAATAGAAGACTAGACTAATTACTTCTCATAGAAATCGAACTCATGACCTGTCACGTAATAAGTACCAGTTAATCCCGAAACAAATTTCATTTCGTTACTTTATACTCGTAATAAAGACGTATAAAACGTTTTCAATTTGACAACTTTGTCAATATAACATATCTATTTACTCATATTCAAGTCACAGGTCCGATAGGAAATAGTTTGCCTTCATATGTCTTGAGCGCCTTGCCAATAGCACCAACTTCCGACGAAACCGCAGCAATTCCCCGTCCATCCTGTTTCAATGTACGTACTTTCACTTTAAACTCGTATAACGTAGTTATTTTATATAACGATACTATTTTATGTCGGAATGTCTGTTTGTGCGAATAAAAGTTAAGTTTTGGGAAATTCAAGAAGTGATTTTTTTTATACGTAAAGGAAAAAATGTTGTGTATTTTATTGTGGTTTGATAAATTATGATTTTAAGAGAAAAAAACAGATTATACTATGTTCTATTTTTTGTACATTGTAAATAGTATTCATCTCTTTTTAACGTTCTACTGCTGGGCACGGGCTTTCCTTCAATGCGAGGGGGATATTAGTGATTGTCCAACACGCTGACCAAGTGCGGGTTAGCAGACTTTAGATGCTTGTCGAAAACTTACTAGGTTCTCTCAGACATGCAGGTTTCCTTATGATGTTTTGCTTACCCTTAAGACCAGTGGTAATCATGTTGGAAATGATTTGCACATGAAAATATCAGAGGTGCCAGACCTGGGACACTGGGCTACTACTGTCATTAAAGATTACGCTATATTTATTTTATTACAGCAAATATAATATTATATTCTTTATTACATTAAACAAGTAATAAATAAAATACATAGAAAATGACGTGGACAAAGGTGGACTTATCTCTATAAGAGATCTCTTCCAGCCAACCCAGGTGTGTGGGAAATAGTGTTAAGTAGCGGGACAAAAAGAGAAAGTGCAAAGAAACCATAAGAAAATATATAAGAATAAATATGAAACTGTATAATTATGAAGCTGTGGATTCATTCGAATCTATTTGATGTTTTTTTATCTTGTTTATTAGACATTGAACAAATATATCTTCACTATATCAAATTCATTTGAAATTATTTCATTGGCTTTTTTTATAAAATCTAACCCTTTACATGTTAATCGAATAAAATTCTTTGAACTCTACAAAAACGTTTCAATCAATCTGATCTTCTTAATTACTGGACCGAATAAACAAATTGAATTAAATTTAATACTTCAATCGCTAATACATACCTATGTATGAAATATATATTTTTTATTTTTTTATACATACTTTGATATTATAAACATTTAAAATACTTTTCATTCCAACAGTGTTGATTTTGCAAATGATTATGAGTTGGATTTTATACAAAAAAATAATTATATTTTATATTAAAATCCTTACATAAAGATAATATATTTACTTAGATTATTGAAACATACATACATATATATATATATATATATATATATATATATATATATATATATATATATATATATTCGGCCTCTGTATCGATAAGAATGACTATTTCAATAAGATTTTCTATAAAATATTTACATGTTATGTTATGTACAGATTCGACCCAGAATTTTATTACATGTACAGATTATTATAAAATAACAATTTTGCTTGCAGACATGAACAAGAACGTACGTATTTTGTCTCCCCCAGCTAATGAGCTATTTTGATGAAAAAATTGATCCCTTGCACCACCCATGCATCAGAGAACCAACCATTTGTTAGGTCTAAATAAACCATTAACCTCCTGCCTACCAGAGACACTTTTTTTGGAGTACGCTCTTGAAATTTTAGTATAATATCGGTAATAGGGTATTATATGCTGGAAAAATAGTAAAAAAATCCTATATCTGGAAAAACGGTTTTTCACTATGTCCTATATGTAGGACAAAGTGACTATATTACTATGTGATTTGTGTAGGACATAGAATAGTTTATAAATATAAATTGTAATTAGAAAAGAAATAAAACAAAAATACAACATATTGTAACCTTTATATTATATATAGGCATAATAAAGTTTCTGAAAAAAACAAAAAGAAAACTTCTTCTAAATAAAACTTTCAAAATTAAACATTTCTTGTCATAAAAATAACTAAATATTATTATGAACTTACAAATCAGTCGCAATTAGGAATATATTTAGATATTAATCAAGTTTTATCGACACTTATACCCTACCACTTATTATTACTCTAAGTTTTGATGAAAATCGGAATAACAATTCCTATTTGGCGTGAAGCAGAGATTAATATCACATTTTTTGCAAAATACTGTAGTTTTTTAGATGGGCAAATGTAGTATAACCTGATAAATCACCACGTCACAAACTGCGCCTTGCGGCGTAGCAAGAACCTTCAGCCCAACAGGGTTCGGTTTGTTAGGACAGTATTGGTGCATCGGACATTTTCCAGTAAACGGATTAATCATTTCGTCAATATTCTTGGGCCGGTTTTGTTCGTGACACATCTCCAAGATTCGATTAAACAGCGGCTGTATTTTCCAATTTTTTTGTATCTTCTGTTCTGCTGTCACTTCAGCATCATAAACACACTTCAGCCGTCGTCTGATAAAAAAGAATCTGTTCCTTGTCATAGCTATTGCAATTATGGAAACTTTCCACTTTTCTGACCAGTACATATCAATTTGTGGATACTGCAGTACTGACATTATCATTGTTATTCCTATATTCTGAATCTAATGTATCCTTGGTCCAGGTATCTTGAAAGCCATCATTATGTTGACGATTCCTAATTGCAATCTGGTGGGTTGACAAAGGCGACGATTGCGGCCCTGGAGTATCCTCGCTCAAACTGAGACCACGTCCACGACCGCGGCCACGTCTATATCCACGTGAAACACTGCTGCCACGTCCTTTTGAGCGGGGCCGTGATGACGTCGATGAGATATCAGAACTGCTAGAGAACGCCGGGGAAGCAGCTGCAGGAACCAATGTGTTTCCCTCTTCATCTGAACTGCTTGACTCACTGATTTGATGATCATTGGCTGTTTGTTCATCTCCCGAAAATTCAAACTCAGAATCGTTTAAAGCCTCCGCTATTCCATTGTCCGTTAAAACTAGAACAAACATAATTAAGATTAAATATCTATCAATGTACTTTATATAGTACATCGGAAGTCTAAGTACTAAAACTTTTATTGCCTACATTTGTCTTCTGCAAAGGACATAAAAAAATACAATACGTTGTCTTGCATGTTTTATACAATTACGCGAAAATACAACTGCATATCATCATTTTAAACTTCTAATTACTTTACTATCGCAAGAAATGCAATAAAAATTTAGATTTACATAAGATTTAAATCGATTAACTTACCTCTGCGCGCAAGCATCGACACATGTCTGTCTTCCATCGCCATTTTAAAAAAAGAGGATCAAATGGGAACTGACATTTATCTCTATTTGGAAACCCAGATAGTCGATAGATGTCACCACGCAAACATTTTGGGATTACCATTTTAAAAACCGGTAGTATATTTTTTTAATTCCTATGTCCTAGCTGTAGTACAGATGTAGGCAGGAGGTTAAAATAAGTGCGTAAATAAAATTGATAGGAAAAAGTATAACGCCATACATATCGCGTAACATGCGCGCCAAAAATACATACAACTAAACAAATCGATTACATCCTCCTCTATTTTGAACAACGTTATATACCATATATTTATAACACAAGTGAAAGTGGTATACAATAATCGTAATTCTGCTCATTGTTCAAACTTACATAAAATTTTATTCATTATGATGATGCAAAGTGATGCAAAATATACGCGCCTATGTCGATTAAAGTACAAAAAAATAAACAAGTATAAAAGACGAGAATATAAATTCCTTTTCTATATCGTAAAATAATACGACTACCAATATAAAAAAGCATGTAAACATACGTAAAAGCTGACGTAAAAGCTATTTTAAGTTCATGTTAATAATAATCAAAGTGATTTGTAAGTACATAATGATCGGAAGCACGCGACCGACAAAAAGTTGACGTTACAAATTCATTTATTATACTGATGCCTCGTAATTTATTCAAGTTTAGTTGACGATGAATAAAGTCGAATTGAAGTCCAGGTGGAAAATACGATAAGTGATCGGTGTTTAATTTGAACGCGCTTTTTGTTAGAACGTATGTATGTATGCTTAATGTTGGAGGATAGATGAAACATATAGTACAGAAAATGAAGGCAAATGGAACTATCGATGTTAAACAAAAGATGTGCCAATATTTCATTTCAATATTTTATATGTAACTAACTGCTCACCCTCGCTTCGCTCTAGTTCTCTAGAGGTGTCTAGACAAAAAAAAACAAATTTATCCCACGGGCACCGTACATTTTTCCGGGATTAAAATTAGCTAATATGCTTTTTGAGACTATAATCTACTTGTGTGAAAAATTTCATCCAGATCCGTTTAGCTGTTCTGACGCAATTGAGTAACAAACATTCATCCATCCAAACTTTAGCATATATAATATTTATGCGATTATTAGTCCGATTTTTTTATTCAAAGTAATTGATGTTAATATTTTGGTAGATTCAATGAAAAGGGTATAATAATATAAAACTCATTTATACATGTTTGAAAATTAAGCACTCTCTACGAAGTACATTTGTTTTACACACTGGCCTGTCATGTAGACGCTAATAAATCGACTTCGTCCTTTACTCGATTGTCCGTAGCCCATGGTGTTCGATATAATCGTCACCACATTTCCGATAGCGAAACTCATTCTTTTGTTTCATTGTCTGTGAATCAGAATTTGAACGTTGATAAGTGTTTGCTGTGAATTATAAAGTAGTGAAAATATTTTTAAAGGTTATGATATAGATTAAAAATATTAGCCACACTATTTACTCATGAATAGGTGACTGTTTGTAAATCAGAAGGAATTTCTTAAAATACCGGTCTATATCACTTTTCGAACCCATAACATAATATAACATATACATTTTCACATATGTATTCGTAATACACGTAAAAAAGTGACGCTATATTGTTTAAAAAATCGTCGGTTCTTTCCTCCCAAATACAATTCTGATCAACTTTGATTATTGTTAGAATATATTAACATGTTACACTATGTTTACTTCTGTTGCTAAGCAACCGTAAAATATGTTATATTATTATTATTTCGAGGGCCTGATTTAATTTTAATAAATTTTAAGGGAAAATTGTCTATTTTGTAAGTTACAAACTCTAATGTATTTATTTGATAAATATTTACTGGCAAAATTCAAAGCCAAAAGTTTTAGCCTTTCAATTCCAAGAGTATTCGCAAATCAAATAAAGTTTTGAATAGCATTAATAACAATAAATTAGATTTTACTATGAAAATTAAACCTGCCGTTGAAATAATTTTAGATTGACAGTAAAGTTTATCTGGCGATATTGATTTCTTACTGGACCTTAGAAACCGAAGATGATCAAAACTATTTTAGTAATTTGATTTTCGATACATTTTAAAAATAGTTATTCGAGCTTTATCTTTATTAATTCAGGTAAAAGTTATTTCAAGGATAAAGTATAAGACGACCAAATTATAAATTACAGTTACATTAATAAACGATCAATTGGTCTAATTTTAGATTGTTAGGATATAATTTTGTTGATGGGTAATTTTTATCTAATGATTGACAAATCAGCCCTTACCGAGTTAAAATCCGAAATATATATGAGGGCGGAGTGAACATGACATAAGGGATCAGCAATCTGATAGAAATTCCTGTATACAATAAAAATAAACATACATATAATACTATGTAGATTATAAAATATTTGATAAGCCACAGTTATCTATAGTACCTAATCTAAAAAAAATAATTTCGACCTTCATAAATAAGTTTTTTGTACTTTATTGTAATTTTATTTAAAACTGATCACAAATTCAAATTGATCGGCTCTTTAATGGACGAACTCTTTAAACTCATTTAAGTTTGTTGATTAAAATATGCAAAGCTTCAGCAAAATTGAATATCATTTTAAAATTAGTAAATATGTTAAATTCATTACAATGCAAATGAATTCTTAGGTTCTAAGTAATATTGAAAAAGGTGAATTATATATAATATAAACAATAAAAATAGATGTTTTTTATGTAACAATGTAGTCGTAAGTGAATTGTCAAAGTCTTATCTGTAGAATATAAGTTCATATTATTCTCTATCTTTCTTCATAAACTTTAGATAGTAAGTAACGATAAAATAAAATAACAACCGAAACTGTTTCAGAAGATCCCAAATTATTTCTAATACAAATAAATCAGGAAATGACAGAGGAGAAAGATAAGGTATCACTTATACGAAACTTCCTTGTGCTTTCTATCAGAAAACTATAAATTTGCCGTAGGACTTCACTCGCTGAAATTTTCTTATACTGTTAAAGTTTCAGTCGTAAATATTTTAAAGTAACTTCCAAAGGAAAAGTGACACCGAGTGTTGACGCTTCTGCGGAAAACTTGGGGGTGGCCAGTGCGACAAAATAACCCTGTCGAAACTGAGTCCAAACTTCAAATACAAAAGTTTCAAATGGGATACTACCAGCAACTCGTTTGTTTTGCAACAATGCATTTCTCGGTATTCCCAGGGGACAGGGAACCTTTTGTCATACTCCAGGATTTAGAAGTATGTGAACAAAATTTTAGCACGTACTTTTTCTTAATATTGTTGGTTTGCTGAATTTTATTTTTACATAGAATATACAAGAGTATTTTTTTAAATAATATATTTTTCTAATATTTATATATTTTATCATTGTTGTGATACAAAGTTATTCTAACAATATTCTAAAGGCATTTGTATTGATAAAGTAGAATTTGGTCCCTAAATGTTTGCTGTAATCTGCTTACATCGGAGTATTTCGGAAAGGTCACATTTTAGTAGGTAATAATACATATTTCAGAGATCCGATAATTTGGGCTGAACCCAAAAAGGGTTTATGAAAAAGCAATGCAATGCCATCGTTAGTCGTTAGTCTCTAATCCCGTGTTCCACATATTATGTCCCAATTATAATTTTATTTGCGAGCCTCAACTGGGACGCTTGTTATCCACTTGTAAATAGCTTAGTAAGAAGGTTTGTAATTCAATTTAGTTGGGTCCGTAATGCTTTTTAGTTGAGACCATTTCATGGGTTTTTGTCATCCCGAGATTTTTTGGTACTTAAGGTAGTATAGTGAACAATCTATTGATTTTTCTCTTATCCATTAAAAACTTTAATCTTAACAAATACATAAATCGCAACACAAAGAAAAATACTTTTCCCAATTCTTCTTAAAGATTGTTCACGTTCTTGATTCCCATGACACAAAATTATATTCAACTTTACGGTCGGAGCAAAGTGTATGTTATTTTACGTTACAACCGAATAGACAGTCGAAATGATACTCAGCAATTCCCCGTCCGCCATTATTATTAACTTTATTTCCCGCGCAAGTAAAAGACGTAGAATCGAAACCTCGAGAGGGAGCGTTCCCAGCACCCTGATACGCTGAATTATTTATACGCCAAGCCAACACACGTTCCACTGGACTTATGAATGTACACACTTTAGCACTTATGAGGAGTTAATAAATTAT